GAAGCTCTAAGATTTCAGGTGGCTGGATAACAACATAAAGCCCCTTAAACACTTACCACGATGTGCAAGCCTTTCTGCTTTCTTCTTCCTGATGCAATAAATAAGCAAAATCATGAAGATGACAAAGAAGATTGCGCCTCCTGCTATGCTTAAGATGAGATAAAGGTCCAGCTCGCCTAGTTAAGGGAATGAAAGAAGATGTTAGAGGGAAAGAAATAACTTGCACAACGTCTACCTAGAATTCTGTATCTTCTTCCATTGGCTGTAAAGGCAGCCCCAGTGAGAGAGCTCATCCTTTGCCTTTTCTCTGTACACAGCAGAAAGTTGCTGGTCCTCATTGTAGAGAATTTTGATTGCTCCCTGATGGATTCCAGTTCTGCAGAAAATTGAAACCAAAGCATTCATGTGTGCCAGCTTGTCTTATTTAAATTACTACAAATTCCCTGTTCCTGTTAGCAATGGACCCTTTTAAGGACAATGAGCATCCAGGCAGTGCTCAGCATCTAACAAAAATAAACTTTTTAAGTACTTCCTACTGAGCTGGAAACACTGAGACTAGGTTGCTTCATGGTATTTTGGTACTTCAATTTCTGGCTGCATGCAAATTAAAAAAAAAATAGCAAAGAGGAAAAATACCCCAGAGTCTCAAATGGAGAGTTCGGTTTGTGCAGTAAGCAAAAATTTGTATGCGTGTTCCTTATTTTGGCCAGATGAGGTTTGCTGGACACTAGCCTTCCTTCACCACCTCCTGCTTGGGCTGTCCTCCTGGCATTCAGTGTACACTCTTGAGGAAGCACAGGCACCATGGAGCTGAACGCTCCACATGCACCTTCCTTGGCATCTTGGGGGACAAAGCTCCAAAGGGGATGATGCCGCTGGTACCACCCTTAACATTCACCGGGCATGCACATGGAGGGCAAAGAGTGATGACACCAAAGCCAAGATGCCTACAGTATAAAGGTCATCATCAGCCTGGGCTGCCTCAGTGGAAAAAAAGACGAGTATTCTCAGTGATGTGGTTCTTCTCACCTGTTTTAGCTGCCAGTGTTACACCGAGGTGTATTTTGCCCTTTCTGTGCCTGTTTCTCCCAGCGGACTATAAGGTGAGCCGAGGCAGATTCACGCATAGTTATGCTTATATGAAAAGTTATCTGAGCTGAAGCCCATCTGAAGCATGTCTTGCCTGCTAAAGGTCAAAATTCAAGGTGATAGGCCTCGAATGCAGGACCAGATGTTCATGGAGAACAGCAGGGTTGGAAGGAGGTTTGACTGCAAGCTGAGGGATTTTTAATCTACTATGGAGCTGTCAGAGTCCTGCCACCACACAGAAAGGTTTGAGGGGTTTTTAGTTTGAGTAGGAAGGGTAGTGCTACATGGTTTTAGTGGGGTTTTTTGGTGCCTGCGAAATGCTATATTTGTACCTTAAAGATCAGTGTGGCAAACCTTTTAGTTCTCTGTTAATGATTTGAGAAAAAACAAGCTCTCCCACCCAACTCACCCTGTGAAAGAAGAGCATTTCTCAAAGGTGAGAAGTGAAATCAAAGTATCTTGCTGATGGCTAATGTCTGCCTATACTAGCAATGCAGGCAGGCCCATGCTTGCCTGGCTTGTGCCCTGGGATGGCCAGCTTCAGCCAGCGTTTCCTCATTAAGACAACACGTTTGAGCTAGTTTGCCCTGCCTTAAACAGACCTAATCCAGCAGCATGCTTTCACACCTGGCTCCAAAGTCCATGCCACATCCCACTCCTCCGCACCCCAGCCCTTTCCCAATATTAGCACCAACGGGACTGTGCAGCCCATCAGGTCAGGCAGCTCATGCAGCAGCAAACAACCCTTTTTTGGCTATTTTAGGCATCAGGGGGATCCTTCAGGAAGCAAGGGCTGCACAGGAGAGCAGAGGCCACCCAGTTGCTCAGCTCTTTGCCTTTCAGTCAGCCTCAGCAGACCTTGGATCACTTCAGTAAGGCCTCTATACTTTAAGGCTTGCTCCCTCCCTTCTCACACCATGAGCTGGCCTTCAGACTTGGGCTTTCCCTAAATTCACTATGGCAGAAATAGCTGGAAATTGGAAATACTGAGCCAGCTCTCATGAGCCCCCCACTCTCCACTAGCTCTAGCAGGAATCTAGAGAAAGAGAGTGCTTTAAGCAAAGTGCTCACAGTTAGGTGGGATGAACCCAAGCCCAGCAAATTCAAGGACTTTTCCCCAGCACTGCACTGGAAATCTGGGTTTTGAACTGAACACCACATCCAGTGTCATACCAGTATGATCTGTCCCTTGGTTTTGCCTTAACTTTCAAATGGGGGGAGGGGGCGATGACTTCTTTTGCCTATCTAATAATTTTCAGCATGACTCTGCCCATTTAAAATGCAATTCCTTCAGTTCTTTTGCTCCATCTGTGGTTTAGAAAGATGACGCTTCAAGTGAGTAAGAAAATCTATGGTACATTTGAGCCATGTTCATCTGAGCCATGCAACCCCAAAAGCTTAGCTAAATTCTCCACAACCTCCCTCCTGATTTCTAGGTGAAGCTGGAGAGTCCAAGCAGCTTATTTCACCCCTTGTGAGAGCACCCATTCACATCCACAAGTAGCGGGCAACCACCACCTTCATAGGTATGATAATGGAGAGGAGAAAGATAATGTGCAACTCATTTCCCCACCATGAGGATATAAATCAAGAGCAAATCCCCTGAAATCAATGCCATGACTTCACATACATAGGAAAAGATCCCAAGCCGTATTTTCCAAAAATAAGCTGTTAATTTATGTCGTGGTAGCTTGGGTAGTTTTATACTATCTTACTGAGGTTAACTCTGGCTTTGGACTGGTTGACTGAAGTCAACCTTTGAGAAGTACCGTTAGTTTTAAAGGAATAAAGGATGATAAAAATGAGGGGGAAAGTGCTTTCTGCCTTTTTCAGACTGCTGGGTGTGATTAAAACACTTTCAGGCCCACCTCCCCACTTTCTCCTTTCTTCATTGCTCTACCAGTAGTAATGGTCAACACTACTTGAGTCTGTCAGGATGCTGACACCAAAAAGTCTGTCAGGTTACCTCCGGCAACTTTTGGAAGAAGAGTCAGCAGTGATGGAGGGGAGGGAGAAAATGATGGGATGAGCAAGAACCTCTCTCCCATTCATTCACCCCACAGCCAGCCTGATCTCACTGTCAGGCTGCAGTTTCCCCCAGGAAACTGCACCTCCAATGGAAGATGCATTGCAGTGCACCCTGGGGGCCTCTCTGCCACCCACAAGGCTCTTGACTCCAGAAGAAACTCTCCACTTCTTCCAGCGACCCCCAGGCCCCACCGACCATGGGGGAAAACACTGCTGGCTGCAGGAGAAGAGGAGGAGTGTGGCCCACCTCACATCCCACTGCCCCTGGCTTGGCCCCCCTATGTTAGAGCAGGGGTGCCATAAGGGTAGCAGTGGGGAAGCAGCAGCAGGGTGGGGAGGGTGGAGATGCAACAAGGCTGGGGAATGCCAAGCAGAAAGCATGATTCACATCCTGGCTACCACAGCAGCATCAGCGCCCAATAACTGCGGTAGCGTTAGACTCACAATACTGGATACCAGGAACCATCAATGCTCCTGGTACCTGGAGCAGACCTACAGATATGTGCAACTGCATCAGGCTTTGTGGGTCTGCGCTAGCAGATTCTGGCAAAAAATAGATTTTTTTACCTGAGCACTTAATTACTTTTTCAGCCTTTTTTTCGCTGACTTTGTTCTTAACAGAACATCTGAACGTCCCAGAATACCGCGTGTGCAACTCCACCTTTGTTCCATTCTTTTGGATTCTTTTGCTTTTATCTTTAATCAGTTCCATTGTAAATGTTTCATCTTTAGTCTTCTGCTTCACTTCACACTTGACAGATAGATTTTTATTCACACATTCAGCACTGAGGGTTGGCTGAGGGACAGGCTCTGAAAAAGAAGAGAAGGGACAGGTATGTCCAAGAAGGTTTCTCCTTTTGAAAACCTCCATTATTAAGCAGCAGAGAGAATTAGCCCCCAATAAGCCGTAAGGGAGTAACATCAGCTAATGAGACCAGAGAAGAATGAAGAGCAAATTAGACCTCTACTACAGAAGTAACATGGCAATAATAAAGAAAATGCAGTATCTTAGCCTACCTATTTGGCCTTGCAAAGCAGAGCTGCACCACCATGGCTGGACTACTTTCAGGCTCAGCCTGGCTCACAGCCAACCAGCTAGGCAGGCGAGGGGAGGAAGTTATGTGTTCTGGGGAGGCGGCGGATGGGAGAGACTGGGAGCCACAGCCCTCTCCAACTCCAGCCCCAATGTTTTGGTGCAAACGAAGTCGGCTCTGATCTGCTTGTGCTCATTAGGAGGCATTTCCTCTAAGGCAGGACAAACAGCTACTTATGATGCCTCATGTATTACCAACAGCACTCAGCTAGCATGACAGCCACAACATGAAAACCCATCAAAACAGCACAGAAAACAGAAACCAGACAGCTCTTAGATCTCAATAAGGTTATGACAGAAAGAACTGACTTCTGTCTCTTCTTATGTCCTGCAAACAGCTAGCTACATTTCTGTTCCAGATTCTCTATCACGGTGGCACTGGAAGAGCCAGAAAAGCCTGTGGGGCTTTCCTCAACTAGGGGCAACGGGCAGGGACATCAGATGAAAAGCCAATAATTTCTACCTTTTAGACCAGGTAAACAAAAACATGCCAGAGTCACCTCTAGTTAGAGGCAGTGTAAGTTATAGGGAACATATGTTTTAAAGCCAACAAGGGTTGCTTGTAGCAAATGCAGTCTAGGTAGTTGTCGTGGTTTAGCCCCAGCCAGCAACTAAGCACCACGCAGCCACTCACTCACTCCCCCTGCCCCGGTGGGATGGGGGAGAGAATTGGAGGAGTAAGAGTGAGAAACACTCCTGGGTTGAGATAAGAACACTTTAATAATTGAAATAAGGTAAAATAGTAATGATAATAGTAGCAATATAATAATGATAATAATAATATACAAAGCAAGTGATGCACAATGCAATTGCTCACCACCCGCCGACCGATACCCAGACAGTTCCCGAGCAGCGATCGCTGCTCCCCAGCCAACCCCCCCCCAGTTTATATACTGAGCATGACGTCATATGGTATGGAATAGCCCTTTGGTCAGTTTGGATCAACTATTCTGGCTGTGCCCCCTCCCAGTTTCTTGTGTACCTGGCAGAGCATGGGAAGCTGAAAAGTCCTTGCCTAGCATAAGCAGTACTTAGCAACAACTAAAACATCAGTGTGTTATCAACATTCTTCTCATACTAAATCCAAAACACAGCACTATGCCAGCTGCTAGGAAGAAAATTAACCTTATCCCAGCTGAAACCAGGACAGTAGTCTAGGTTCACGCTGTGACATCTGCAACCACCCTTTCCTCGTTAAGCCCACTCCTCTTCTGCAAGCTGTAACCTATCATTCAGGGGAATACCCCAGTGTGAAACACTGGAGTCCAGGTCCTGGTGATGGAGCTGTGTGATGATATCATCTAAACTATTTTTTTTTTTTGGAACAACTGTTTGTCCAACCCTAGTAACAAAGTATGATCTGGCTGACAAATGACTCTAGCACCTGACAGTTACTAAAGGACTTTATTTCCAACACTGCTATCAGAGGTAAGGCAACCTCTCTGCTGCACAGTAGGTGAAATGATGCAGCACATAGCTAGGTTACAACCTTAACCTCAAATTGAACCCAGGACACCCCAATCACAGCTCAGTGTCTTAAAGCATAAGTAAGTGGCGTCAGGCCCTGATGACTTCCTGAATCTGTAGACAGTTTGCAATAATAATTCCCAAAGTAGCGAGAAACCCTCACTTCTCAGCAGTCTGTTAGCCACAGGGCCTCCCACTGCGCAGAAACCATTCCAGCTGTCTTTGCTGCTGCTGCTGCTGCCTCATCAAGGCATCATTTCTGTAGTGCCAGCCAGTGCCCACAGACTCAAGAGGCTGGCAGAGGTGTGCTTGCTGGCTGAGGAAGGACACAGCAAAATCATCTTGCTGGGAAAAAAAACACGCTGCCCGACAGCTTAACGATCTGGAGAGGTGGCAGCAGCCATAGAGGAGCAGAAGAGCCACCCCCTTCTTCCGTACTCATCCCAAAAGCTTTGGGCTCTACCACTCTGATCTCTCGGGACAAGGTACAGCACAGGAATGGACGCTGACTTCATGCTTTGAACCCATGCAGCTGAAATCCCCAGGCATGTGCTTAAGTATGCTTTGGACAGCACAATCTTCATATTTGTTGTGTTATGCTATGCAAGGGTAGAGTGCAGGAGTCCTCTTCCCCTGCCAATTCAACTCCTGTTGTGGTATATCTCAGGGGAGTTGATAGCTGGCTATGTTTTATGTTAGAGCAAAAATGGAGTGGGATCGCATTGCCTAAATACAGGCATTTAGTGCCACATGGGCTCCTGAGCTCTCCTCAGGAGGCTGGCAGATGCAACACAAGGTGCTCACTTGCTGGAACAGTAGCTAGAGACCAAAAGTCATAACTCAGTGCCTATAAAATACCACCAGAAGTGCCAGAAGCACACAGTGCCACAGCCACAGGTGTACCTCGCATAGGTTGCTGTGCTCCCACAGGAGGTTTCTGGAAGCAGGGTGCTGCTGGGAGCACAGCCCTGCTCGCACGCTGCTGCCTTACAGCCATCCGCACTCATCCTGCTGCCAACACAGATGTGCTCATGGCCACTTGCTTGGGCACACGTAGAAACCTGGTGGCTGACAGAGAAGGAAGCCAGAGAAAAGCAGAGGACCAGAGGGCATAAACAGGAGTGAGAAAAGGGAGAAGAGCAGCAGACTGCTGTCAGTGGTGGGCAGAAAGAGGTAAATCTCACAGAAGTCCCCCCAAAACAGAAAGGGTGTCAATGAGTAGGAAAGGCTGCAGGAGAGAGCAGGAATACCAAGTCTGAATCAGCTATGCTGGGAATGGTATGGGAAAAGCAAAAACTCACCCTGAACGATGAACATTGTCTCTTCTTCTGCCTTCAATTTTCCATCCGGCTGATAAACAGTCACCCTGTACCTTCCACTGTCCTCTTTCACCACCCGCTGTATTTGCAGAGTCCCATTTAGGAATACCTTACACCTGCACTGGTCCTTGTTCACGTAGTACTTAACTTGCTTATCTTTTATCTGAAGCAACCTTTGTCTGTCTCTCAACCATGTTACATGAGATAAGTTCCCAGAAGCGTCAGGGATGTTGAGAAGAGCCGACTCATTCACCGCCATGTAAATGGTGACGGAGCCTGTGAAGGAAAGGACAACCAGCTTGTCAGCATGTCTCCAGCAGCCCTTGCTGCCATGCTTGGCAGCCACAATGGTGACCCAAAAGGTTGTCACTTGCTACTCCCTCTGAGTTGCTTCTCTTCGTTATTGATGCCATTTTCTTCCCCTGCTCCAAAGCACCTCTTGATCGTTCATTAGATGAATGCTGGCACCCAGTTTAATTCTGGGAGGCGAGGAAGCTAAGAGTCTGGCTTTCAAAACCTGACTTTATACTCTGGCTGAACTTATTTGGAGTGATTTTGGATGCCAAGATTCATGGCTGCTTGTGAACTTAACCCTGAACTTAACCCTTCCTGAAAAGAAGGCCACTGCAGCGTGTTTTGCACATGGCGCAGGCTGGTACTCAGAGCGCCCATCACTGCAAACATCACTGCAGACAGCAAGAACACAAACTAGTAGTGGCCCTGGACAGTAGGACGGGTTCAGCAATAACAGTGATGGCAATAACAGTAATAGTGTCCCATGTCAAGCAGCGAGTGAGCGTGAGGCACTGAACTGGAGGCAGACCCAGTGCTGCCAGCTTGCAGTGCCCCCTCCTCACCCATCCCGGGCACCCCGCCCTGCCAGAATATACGCTCTTGATTTTTCGAGCAGAGAATCACGGTAGGGCAAGTAAAGTGGGGAGAAACAAACGGCTAACCACATCCTGTGAACTGATGGGCACTGGAGACATTAGGAGATAAGCAAAGGCCAAAAAAATCTTTTCTCTTGGCAGGACTCCTTTGATGACAGGTCCCCTCTCCAGAACACATAAGGGTAGGTGCTTCCCAAAGGTGCTACCAGGACTGGGCAGCGCTTAGCATGTGGCTGCTGAAGGAGATATTCAGGAAAGCCAAGGCTGCTAAACGTCAATCACGTTACTACCAGTGGAGATGATGTAGTCTTTGGGCTGTGCCCGGGTGGCTGCCCTCTCTCTCCTCTCCAGGCCACTTCACAGCCTTTGCAAGGCCCATCTCTGGTGAACCAGGACTTCAGAGTGCAAAGTTTGTCAGGAGGTCACTTCAAGTAAGGCATTGTCTCCACCTCCGTGGCATGTTGAAAATTTACAGTTGGAGGTAGAAAAGTGCTCGCAAGTGTCAGGTGGGATAAGCTCACTGATAGTCAAACGGGCACTCAGAGCCACAGCTTATTTAATTTCTCATTTTCTTACGTTCATTCCTCTTCAATTTACAGGATAAAGCCGATCGGCAGGAGGGGTTTTCTCTTCATGTCACCAGGTAGAGCTGATTCTGCTCTTACGTGGTGATCTTAGAGGTCCTTTCCGACCTTAATGATTCTATTCTAGTTTTACTTTCATTAAAAAATAATTCAGCCACCAAGCCAGGAAACATGAAATTAATTATTACTCTACCCTTAATTGGTTTAGTGGTGAACTTGGCAGTGTTAGGTTAATGGTTGGACTTGATGATCTTAAATGTCTTTTCCAACCTAAACAATTCTATATTTTAAGCACTTTTTCCCCACAGAGAGAAAAACTATGTTTATGCCTATTTCTATTACAGTCCTTCATTTCTGGTATCTGGGACAATGATAAACTATATCACAGAGGGGAAACTGAAATCCAGGTGCTATTTCATGAAACTAACAATATTAGAGATAATCAAAGAACTAAAATAGTGTGCCTCTACAACAAGAAAATGAATACTGAAGGGCTTCCGGCAATTCACCCCCAGTCTAAGGAGAGGCTGCTATTTCACTATTGCATTTCTTACAAGGTGTTTGACATATCTAATGAAATATTCTGAAATCAAGCTATCAACCAAATGGTCTTGGAAGCAGCTATCCTCCACACAGATGACACTACAGATTATGCCCAAATATTTGAATTCTGATACTTGGTTTTGCTCAGTCATGCACAGGTATTTAGAGCTAGTAATAGGACTTCTTTGCACTACAGATACTGTCATTTACTTTTTCTCTCTGGAAGAAAAAAAAAATAATCTAAGTTTTCAAGGATAATTCAATGGCATCTCTATGGACAGACCACCTAGACACATCTCTGGATGATTATCTGATCTCCATAGCCTTGCTAATGGAAAGCAGAGTATCCCACACATATGATACTAAAAATCTGTTTAGCTAATGAAACAGTATTTCTGCTAATGCCCACTGAAATGTGCTCCAAGGGGCAGAAAGCTCTGAACTGGCAGTATAGAGCTCACCTGCAGTCACAAGAAAGAGTTAAAAGGAAAATCCTATAGTAACTTTAGAGAAGTAAGAAAGTCTTTGAAACATGTTTTCCATTCAAGGGAATAATCTTCATTTCTGCAGGGGAAGATGTTTTATATACCATGTTAAAAAAAAAAACCCAAACCCTTATTTATCTATTAATTTTGTTCTGGAAGAAAAGCAAAGCATTAAACAGCCATACATACAATCTGTAGTGGAATGAACAGAGAAAAAAAAAAAATCTATGCATGACTGTATTGTCTCCATCTCTTATAACCTTCTCTAATCTATGAGTTAAGACCTTAATTAAGTTTTTAGATTAATATTTTTTAAAAATAGTGAGAGCAATAATACGCAAAGTATAAAAGATGTTTGTATTTGCTTGCTGTTTTCACATCCTAGACTTCTTCAGCTCCACTGAAGACACTGAGATACATCACTCTTTCTGTTAATATTTATGGAAGAATATAATTTGCACTTTCAAAAGATTTGCTCATCTTTGATAAGAAAAGGAAATTACATGTGATAATGCACCATGAACTGGATATCTAATGTAGTACAAGCTACCTCGAGGGTAGAGAGAAAACAGCATGCTTGACATTTCTCATTATACATGTGTCAAATTAAGGCTCATTAACTCAAAACCAAAACTGTTTACAGCTTATTATTATAACTGGAATAGGAAATTCAGGTCCTGCCCTCCCCCTGGCTAAAAATTAAATCAAATAATAATAGCAATAACCCAAAGGTCTTCACTCACTGGGAAAGTGGAACTAGTTTCTTATCAGTAACATCCCACCAAGTTGTAAATGGTTTAAAATGCAGTTTTAACAATGCTAACCCGAAAGAGAAGAAAAAAAAACAATAAGAAAAACTCACATTTTACACTGGGAAATAAAAGCAGCAAGCACTTGACTAGGAAAATCCTCCTAAAGTTCATTTTCAGGGTCAAAAAAATCTAGTGTCGCCTTGTCCAATGATAGCTCCTGGCAGGTGAAAGATTTTCTGCTGTGAGCAAGCAGTCATGGGATGTGTCAGGCACAGCCCTTGCGCCCTCCCCTCCTCCTCCCAGCTCTCACCCTAGCATTTCTTGTTTCAAGTATAGGCACAAAAACCACAGGCAGAAATAATCGCTCAACAGGATGTTTTATCAGGATGGGAACAAGGTGCAGTGACAAGTAAGACAAACACCAAAATGCATGAATGCCCCTGAGGTCTGTCTACACAGCTGGAGGGTCAGCCGGGGCTCTGGTCCTCTTCTACGTTCACCTGAAGAGTTCGATCAACTCCAGCATCTGCATGCCACCATCCTAGTGGGACGGATGATTTTTGGAGTGGAGGGTGATGGGAATCCTTCTGCTCCCCCATAGCCGGAGCAGCAGCGAGGGGACAGCAAGCCCAGGACGCCCAGCGGGGAGCAGGTAGCCAATGGCTGTTGGACAGTGTGTTGAAAGGAGACACACTTCCCCTGGAAACCATTAAGATCAGCTTCGCACCAACGTCTGAACTATGAGGGGCTGGCCTGTGCCACGCGAAGGTGTCCTGCAGGCACGGCCAGCCGTTTGAGCAAGCTGCGAAAGAGGGATGGGCATGGAAAGGGATGAAAACACTGCCTTGGGTCTAGGCAGAAACCAGCCCTGAAGCTGGTTGGTGTGGGAAAGATGGTGAGGAAAGAAGCTGGGAGGAGGCATGGGAGTTAGGTCCAAGAACACATGAGAAGCTAATAAAAATCTTTATTCCCGATTCTGATACGAAACAGATGGGGTGGTGAGGATTTTGAATCATATCATCCCCAGCACAATCCCTCTGCTACAGTGGCCACTGAAATCTTCCAGCTTTTTACCGCAGACACAGACCAAGAAAGAAGACAGAAGAGAAGCTGTGACACTGGAGATGTACAATATTAGATAAATCTTTCTCGTTCATTCATGTCATTCTTGTTCCTTGAAGTTACAGGAAGGTCTTGTAAGACACCTCCTTTTCTCCGGCTTCGTCATCTTTTAACTGGTACTAATGCTGGCAAAAACTACCCTTTTTTTGTGCAAAAGGAGAAGTTACCCAAGGTAAAATGCACTAAGGTCACAGTATTGCTGCCTCTGCACGTTGTGGAAAAACCTAGCTTTTCTTCCTTCTTATTGTTTCCTTACAAAGAATGAACAAGGGAGGCATACGCAAAAGGAGAGAGGAAGCAACAGCAGCAAGATGACATTTCTGTGCCTGATCTCTACCCTCTGTAGAGAAAAAACAAGCCAAGGGCAAGGGCTGCCGTGCCCAGGCATCTCCCCAGCCCAGCAGACTATGCCAGCAGAGCTGGCCTGGCGGGGGGGCTGTGGGGACCTCTCTCCTCAGCCACGCTGGCAGGGACATGCAAGGTCTGAATGCTTGGACACATCTGCTTCCAGCCCAAGCACCTACAGGCCTTCAGGCAAAGGCAGCAACCCCAATCTCTTCTGCTTTTTTTTTTTTTTTTTTTTTTTTTTTTTTGCTGGGTCCAAACGGCAGAGCAGAGGGTGGCCCCTGGGCATGGTGAAACCACTGCCCACACTCTGCTCAACCTTGTTTCGCTTCTTCAAGGCAACACCCCTCAAAGCCACCACCTGCTTCCAGCATACCCCTGTGCTTTGACCGCATGCTCAGATTGCAAAAGCGCTGGAGCAGGGACCGTCCTTCTGCTCTGTGCACACGCAGAGCCTGCTCGGTGCTGTCCTGCTCACTGGATACTGCCTGTTGCAGAGCTGCAGGCAGAAACTGGGATTGGTACAAATGAAATACAAACAGAAAGATGCATGTGTGTGTGTGTGTGTGTGTGTGTGAAGGTGAGGGAGAGAAGAGAGGTAAAGCTCCACAGCAGCAGAACAAGGCTTAAAAGGATGCCCTGTATTCATAAGGAAGGCCACTACTTCCAGTTAATCAAGTTTGTCATGCCCAGATGCCCGCGCTCTTGTAAAATCACAGCTGAAATGACTCAGACTGGAAGCCCCTATGCTCCAGTAGACCAGCTGTAGCACATCAAACATGGCATCCTTTTTCCTGTTAGAGCAACAGGTAGACAGGAGCAAGAAACCACTCCTAAAGGATATAAAAGGTCTGTTCAGCAATGAGTTTGCTGTGAGCAGTGAAGAGGCACTCAAGAGAGGTGGTGAGGGCTCAACAGCTGATGTCCCCTGTCCACTGTGCACCACAGAAGTGACACCAGGCCTTGGTATTTCTGAGTATTTGTGTGTGTGTGCACAAAATCAACTGGCTTAGAGATTTTGTGTAACAAAAGCACAGCCGAACTACCCACCTGCAGCAAGGATTCCCCATGAGATCCTGGCATGTGCATGGTCCATCCCATCGAGCAGCCCCTGCTCTAACCAGCATCAGAAACCTTCTGCACCATCAGACCCACCTGGGCAAGGAGAAAGCACCCTGCGTCTCTAACCTCAGCCTTCCTGCCAGATGAGAAGTGGGGAAACGGCAATATCCTTGCAGCTTTACCCTCCCTCTCTTGAGGAGCAAGACAATGTCATGCTGCTGTCCTGACAGGGCTTCAATCCCCATCTTAGAAGGAGGAAGGGATTTTCTGGATGTTACTGTGAGGGAAGCACTGAAAGTCCCTGCACTGATGTCTCCGTTTCCCCCTCCAAGGGAAGGCATTAAGGAGAGGGTGTCTGAAGGCAAATGGGTATCTCTGGAAAGCACAGCAGCTTTGGGCTGCTGCCACAGAGGAGCTCCGGAGGCCAGCATGTACCTTCAGCAATGCGATGGGGGATGCATATCCTGAAAACAGCTACAGCAGGGAGCACTGGCAGAGCAGCCCCCCGCACCAACCGGCGGTGCTCCCCAAGGAGCGGGACAGGCGCGGCGAGAGCTATTGCTTGCAGCTGTGTGCTGCCACAGCCCAAACACTGCCCCAGGTTGTGCTGGGCAGGACAAGGCGAGGCCTGCTAGGCCTGCAGATGAACCACGCCCTCACGCTCTTCTGCTCGCTGCAGACACCCTCTCTCCTACCCTGTTACACAGGAAGCAGCACTGCTGGGCTAAACGCAAGCCAGCTAGAAAACCAGGGCACCGACAGAAAAGGAGATGTCTCCCAGTATGGTGGTGCTGGACCCGTCTTCAGTTAGGCTTGTCAGCCCATGGCTGAGGAAGCTTGGCCTCTGGTTAGCCCACTGCATTGCTAGACATCTCCATCTTCTGAAGCACAGTAGAGCAGAGGACGGAACGCAGCCACGACAATAGGGTGTTTCTTTGCAGCTACTGCTCTCTCTGTGGTATTGTTTCCACTGCAAAAGCCACAAAGTGCTGCAGTCATATACATTTTGCTTTTCTTGCTTGCTCTTTTACTCGTCTGTTCTTTGTAATACACTAAGCAGTTTCCTCACAGGGAATGTAAGCGTCATACTTACATTTCCATGTAAAGGTGACAGACGCCCACACATCTGAAGGCAGCATCTCAAGAGACAACATGCAGCTGTTCTCAGCTCTAAGTCTTTAACCTAGTGATAAGCCAATAAACATTCATGCCTGAGGCTAGTAAGAAAAGAGAACATTATTAGATCTAGAAAAAGAAGAGTACAAATACACTTAGCACGTTATTCTCAGGAAAGTCAGCATGCAGCAAGTCAGTGTGGATTTGTAGCCCACCTGATAATTTGCACCACCTCCTCTGGTATGAAGCTTAGGTCCTATTAAATGGCGTTTGCATGGGACTCACTACTCTTCCCTGAAAGTACAGTCAGACACCCTGCACTCACCACCACCTGAGACCCTCCCTGTGAAAGATGACAAGAGTATTGCAAATTCATAGAATCATAGAATGCTTTGGGCTGGAAGGGACCTT